GCATTGGCTTTTTAGCTGCCGCGTCACACTGTTGGCTCATGTCAAGTTTGTGGTCAACCAAGACTCCTAGATCCTTTTCACATGTACTGCTCTCAAGCCAGGTGTCACCCATCTTGTATTTGTGCCTCTCATTTGTTTGCCCAAGTGCAATACTTTACATTTCTCCCTGTTAAAATTCATCTTGTTTGTTTTTGCCCAGTTCTCTAATCTGTCAAGGTCGTTTTGAAGTGTGATCCTGTCCTCTGGGGTGTTAGCCACCCCTCCCAGTTTGGTGTCATCTGCAAATTTGATCAGGATGCCCTTGAGTCCATCATCCAAGTCGTTGATAAAGATGTTGAATAAGACTGGGCCCAAGACAGAACCCTGTGGCACCCCACTAGTCACTCTTGGAAAAGAACAAAAAAATTCAATGATTATGTCCCCACCTTCCTGCTTGTCCTTCCATTGGTGTTATCCAAAAGAGCTATTCTGGCAAATATTTTAAAACTACTTAGATTCCCCCCCCCCCAAAAAAATAAAAAATTGGCAGGACACTTCATGAAAAGGGCACAGGAGGCAGCTGTGAGGAGAACTGAGCACCAATAATGGAAATTAACAAAAGGAGGAAGCCATCAAGAGAGCAGTTTTAAAACAGAGCTGGGCAAAAGTGTTTTTCTCCACCGGTCTCCTTCGAAGGATGCAAGAACCAGTTGCACATGCCAAGGTGTGAATGATGGAGGGTGTTATGTACTGAAGTTCTCACCCTGGGCCAGCAGGGGGATACTGTAGATAGTTTTCACTTAGGTCCACATATGCAAATAAGGAATTGAAAGTGACGTTCAGTGATTGGATAGTTACAGAAAGTTGTTACTGTTGCGTTGTAGTGGAGCTCTAAATAAGCAGGCTGGCTGAACCCTTCAGTTCAGTTCTTTTCTGGCCTGTGAATAAATAAGAGCTGCTTGAAGAATCGCTGTGTCGTCTGATATGTTCACCCACAACTTAACAGAGGGAGCAACAAAGTCTGTGTGCGTGAGAAGTGCGGAGGTTTTCCCAGAAACGATCACTAATGCTAAGGTTGTGTCTGCACTAAACACTTATAATAGTCTGACAACAGTTTAGCTAGTGCTATTTGTCTAGAAAAAGAGGTGCCAGAACTTGCCATGAATGCCTCCTAATGGCAGCCACTTGAGATATAACAATAAATAATAGTAAAATTTTATTTATATCCCGCCCTCCCCAGCCGAAGCCGGGCTCAGAGCGGCTAACAACAGTAAAATAATACAGCATTCTAAAATCAGTTCATTATAAGGTGCCAGAACTGAGTTCTGGCTGAAAAAAAGCCATGAATTTAGCATTCATGATTTCTCCCAAAAGAATCTTGGGAAATTGTGGTTTTGTGAGGATGCAGAGAATCCTGTTAGGGATTCTTTGCCTTTGCCTCCAATCCCACATGACCATTTTAGGATCTCAAAAGAGAAGGGATGATAATTAAACCAAGCTTAATTCCCTAATTTAGGTTGTTTTGGAAATCGTATGACAGACCTAATGTGGCTTCCCTCCCGGAAAATATGGAACTGTTTTACAATGCTTCATTTATTTGTTTTATTTATGATAATATTTAGAAACCACCAAATACACAGAGAGAGAGAGAGAGAGAGAGTAGATGTCAGATGAGATGTTCTGCTGCTCAAATCTGCACTGAGTCCATGCCTTTTAATCTTGGACAGGTATGGAAAATGACTGCTAGGTTTGAGAAAGCTGGGAAGAGGTTAATGGCATCAAATTGGAATTTTTGATCATTTTTGAATGATAATTTCCACCAGAAATATTGCACCTTTTTCTAGCATAAATTGTTTATTACATTTTCCAGACATGTTTTACAATAATCTTAATATCAAATAATTGCATTGTTTCATAAATTGACATCTCACCTCCACTTTCATAGTGTTTTTACTCTATTGCATTGTATCTTTATCTATTACAAAAAGTTTATCTGTTACAGTTATTTTATCATTTGGCTATAGTATTTTTTTTTTTTAAATCCACAACAGGCTTCTATTCTTCTCTGAAAAGTCCATCATTTTTATCTCTTAATTTCGCTGTCAGCTTTGCCATTACCGCGTAGTCCATTACTTTTGAAAGCCACTCTTCCTTCGTTGTACCTTTTGAGGTTACAGTTTTATACAGCCATGAAAAACAATCAGCTTAACATTGCAAAGTTTGCTGTAGTAGTAGCTGTTGCTGTTGATCAATGGCCATTATAATATGACATGTATAATTCATGTATAAATTTCTGTGAATTAATGCAGGACTTCCTCCACTTCCTAGAAGAGTTTGGATTTGGATTTGATATCCCGCTTTATCACTACCCGAAGGAGTCTCGAAGCAAATTCCTTTCCCTTCCTCCCCCACAACAAACACTCTGTGAGGTGAGTGAGGCTGAGAGACTTCAGAGAAGTGTGACTAGCCCAAGGTCACCCAGCAGCTGCATGTGGAGGAGCGGGGAAGCAAACCCGGTTCACCAGATTACGAGTCCACCACTCTTTTTTATAGTTGATATTTATTGAATTTTCAAAAAATAACAACAAAAATTTCCAAAAAAAATTTAAGGATACAAAAAACAAAAAGAAAAGAAAACCCAGCCGCAAAGAAAAAAAAAAGAGAAACAGAAAAACAAAAATATAAAGTCCTTTACAATCTCTATTGACTTCCTTTCTAGACTTCCTCCTCCTCCCCTCTTTTGTTTCTTAATTTTTAATTTTTACAGCAAATCCTTTCTGTTTTTTCATAACAATCTGTCATTACGTTTCCTTATTCTATTTTCCCTCTTGTCATATAAAAACTTTAAAACTCATAGCTTATATTCAATATTTACCAAATTCTTGCATCATTACCTTTTTACGAATCATTTACCAATCCTTACTTAAGTCATGTAATTTCATTCAACATCCTTCAAACATTTGTAAGCATTCCCAATATTAAAAAGTAAAAAAAAAAAATAATAAGTCAAATTCAGTCCAGTCAGCTTCCAACCTCCCCTCCCCTGGACCCGGGATTGTCAGTCCTTTTAACCTCGGTAATCCGGCTCCTTAACCTGGTTGTCTCGTATCCGAGGCCCTCAAGTCTCTTTCTTGCCCCTTTCGCCACTCTTGTTGATGATTCCTTTCCAGTCGTGGATGCTCCAGCAAGAAAATGCTTTTGACCCTTTGCAACAAGTCCATCCCAAACCCATTGCCCAAGCCAGACAGCAAATAATACCACTTCAAATTTCCACAAAGCTTGGAGACTTCGGCTACTCCAATCCTCTGATAGCCCATCACCAGACTCGGAAGGTCCAAATAACCATATGGAGGGGGTCGATCCATCCCCCATTTCCAAATCTGACCACATTTCATCTTTCCGAATCTGGTTTGTCCCAAGTTCATTTATCAAGTTCAAAGGCTGATCTTGCCCGTCCAAAGGTCCCTCCATCTCTGAAGCCTCCGTCACTACAGCAGGTTCATATGCTTGTATAGCCTTTAACTGAATTTCATTTGTTTGCTGCTGTGCTCTGGTAACTTCCATCATCAAGGTCGTCTCCTGACGCATCTGGTCCAGCTGGGCACTTAGTTTTGAAAAACCTTCCAGGAACAATTGTTCAAGCCTTTGTACTAGCATTGTCCTTCAAGGTCAAAGAAAATTCTTTCCCACGAGAATAGTCCAATAGTCCTTCTCTTTTAATCTCTCTGCGTTGCAATTTCACTAAATTCCACTAGATGGAATTTTTTTTTTTTTAAAGGAATAAAAGCAACAGCAACAATCTTTCTTTTTCCAGAAACACTTTATCCAAAATTCCCCCTTCCAAATTCAAGAGGCAACAGTAGAATCAAAATGTTACCCTTCTTTTAACTAACTGTCGAGCTGGATAAACTTCAGAACGTCAATTCTGACAGCCCGCTCCTGGTTCAGGGCGGTGGAAAATTGCTTTATTTTAAACTCACTTCCGCAGGATTGAAAAGTCCAAATACAACCCCTTTTTCTCCTGCAGTCAAAGGGGGTTCAGAAATCTTAGATGTTGAATTCTAGTTCTCTTAAAATTTAATTTTCAGGCTTTAGTATATTTTGTCTTTGCTTTCTTCACATAACAAAAGAACGGAAGGCGACTTCCTGTTTAGACCTTCCCATTCCGAGTCCCAATTAAGTTCAATTTCAAGTCCAATATTATTTGTTTATTCACCAGTCTTAAAAGTGGTTCAGCTCTTCCAAGATCAGGTACTCACGGATAGATGTTTTAGATGCCAAATTGTCCAGGAAAAAGGCAGCGCTCTCCGATAACGGCAGTGCGGCTTTGCTGCACGGAGGAAGCAGACGACTCACAGCACCACGCACCTCCCACTCCGGAGCCCGTTACCGGGCTCCTGTACAAGGGGAGAGAGCGCTCTCGGTGCCCGCCGAGTCCCACGTCCACAGGCTTCTTCCGCCTGTGGTTTTTGCGGGTCCCCGCTGCGCCGTAGCGGCAGGACCCAAGCCTCCGTGCAGCGGGTTCCCTTCAGTCCGAAGGGAATTCCGCCATTTTCCGGAGGCGCCACCCCGGAAGTCCGAGTCCACCACTCTTAACCACTACACCATGCTGGCTCTCTAGAGTCCCTCATCCAGTGGATATTGAATATAAGCTTGTGCCTTCAAATACCTAAATGTATCTTCTAGCTGTTGGGCAAATATGAAAAATAAAAGTCGTATCAACAACCTGGAAAATTATAATCAACTGGTCTTTCAGCAAAATTTGCATTTGAAGTTTCAAGCCCACTGAGCCTCCAAGGAAATCCCCTTTCTGGTTTTCGAAACCCTGAGTGTACAAATATCCTCCTAAAATTCCACCCAAAGGACGGCCGCAATGTTTGGAAAAATTTTTGTCTGAAGAGGGGTTGGCTTGCTTATAATAATATTATTTGAAAAAATATGAAGGGAAGAGGCCTTTAAACAAATATGATGGATTAATTAAGAGAAAGGCAAATAAAGGTTAGAATGGCATAATTGGCTGAGTAGAGTTCATTAGGTGAGTGTAAAACCGCTGGATATTACTTTGCTGAAGCATGCCGTTTGACTTCCTAAATGACAGATGCCATACAAGACATTCCTGAAATTAAGTTAAATGAAGATAATGAGCTCTGAGAACCGAACCCTAAAGTCAAGCGGTTGGAGACCATTTGACCTTATTTTCAATCTTCTTTATTAGGGTTAAAGACAAAGAGTCCAAGTGTCTTGCTAAATCGACCAGAGGATGGCTGATGAGCTAGAAATTAATGCCGTAGTTTAAAACAGGACTCAAGGAGATGGGAAACATCGGAGACCCATTAACCTTTCCCATGGCATTGTAAAGAAACAAAACCAAGGAGAGCGAAGACCAACCAGAAGGGACGCCTTTGGACTGTAATTATTCAGAAGGCTTCAAAAGCAATTATTTCAGACGATATAGAAAAGATAGCTCAGCAGAAGGCTGATCTCTGCAAACGACATGGACCATTTTTGTACTTTGACCATCACAGGCAAAAATTGGAATACATTGCCAAGGGCTGAACAAATCAGCAATCTCTTTTCAGGGTTTGGTTTTCATGACAATCAAAGGAGCTTACCTTCAAGAAATAAGAACGCTTCGAAACAGACCATTCACAGAGCAGGCTCACTTCAGGCCTAATCTGAAGTAAATTCCACTGAGGTCAGATGGACTGACACCCAGGCAAGTGTGATAATAATCTAGAAGTAAACCCCACCGGGGGCGCGGGTGGCGCTGTGGGTAAAACCTAAGTGCCTAGAGCTTGCCGATCGCATGGTCGGCGGTTCGAATCCCCGCGGCGGGGTGAGCTCCCGTCTTTCGGTCCCAGCTCCTGCCCACCTAGCAGTTCGAAAGCACCCTTAAGTGCAAGTAGATAAATAGGTACCGCTTTATAGCGGGAAGGTAAACAGCGTTTCCGTGTGCTGCGCTGGTGCTGGCTCGCCAGAGCAGCTTCGTCACGCTGGCCACGTGACCCGGAAGTGTCTCCGGACAGCGCTGGCCCCTGGCCTCTTAAGTGAGATGGGCGCACAACCCTAGAGTCGGACATGACTGGCCCGTACGGGCAGGGGTACCTTTACCTTTACTTTAAACCCCACCGAATTCAAAGGAAATTGCTACAAAGTGGGCATGCACAGGACCAAACTGTTATGATTTGCTATGCACAATAAACAAATTTTATTAGATGGTACAAAAGAGTTGGCAAAACGAGCTTCCATTGGGGGTGCAGGCCCAGGAGGGGTGCAAAAATAATCTATCAGGCTGTGGAGTGTGTGACATATATGTGTTTGGGGTGGGGGGACGTGCTGCCACTGTCACAGTGAGATCCAAGGCAGGAGAAGATTTCCGTCCTTCTCACACCATGGCACAAAGGCATGCGATTTTTTTCACCCTTCCTATCCACCTTGCCCTTTCTCCAGACGCTTTGAGTACTTGGGTGGCATAAAATGTAGTACCATATTTTTTGCTCTATAAGACTTACTTTTTCTCTCCTAAAAAGTAAGGGGAAATGTGTGTGCGTCTTATGGAGCGAATGCAGGCTGCGCAGCTATCCCAGAAGCCAGAACAGCAAGAGGGATTGCTGCTTTCACTGCGCAGTGATCCCTCTTGCTGTTCTGGCTTCTGGGATTGAGAATATTTTTTTTCTTATTTTCCTCCTCCAAAAACTGGGTGCGTTTTATGGTCTGGTGCGTCTTATAGAACGAAAAATATGGTAATTTATAATGTGACTATTGCGGTAAAGTGGTTTTTCCAGCTGTGGGGGCACCACTGCCGATATAGCTCCTTGGGTGTGGGGAGCCTAGGAACACTTCTACAGAGGCAGGAATGCTTACGAATACAGTGGTACCTCGGGTTACATACGCTTCAGGTTACAGACTCCGCTAACCCAGAAATAGTACCTCAAGTTAAGAACTTTGCTTCAGGATAAAAACAGAAATTGCACGGTAGCAGCGGGAGGCCCCATTAGCTAAAGTGGTGCTTCAGGTTAAGAACGGACCTCCAGAACGAATTAAGTTCTTAACCCGAGGTACCACTGTACAAGTTCCTGGAAACCACAGTGGGAAAGAGCAGTTTTTATATGAACAGAGCTGGAGCTTAAATTTTTGGTGGTGCACTGGGAGAGGGGAGTCAACGGAGGTGAGATTGGGTGTCTGGAGGCCAACACACCAGAGACAGGTTATTTTTTCCTGGGGGTCCCCCCCCCCCAATTTGGTCTAACTTTGTTTCTTATACAAATATAGACACACTCACGGACAACAAATAGCGCCAGGTAATGCAAATGTTTGGATCCAGTGAAATTTAAGGTTCTAAGTCAGGCATAGGCAAACTCGGCCTGCCAGATGTTTTGGGACTACAACTCCCATCATCCCTAGCTAACAGGACCAGTGGTCAGGGATGATGGGAATTGTAGTCTCAAAACATCTGGAGGGCTGAGTTTGCCTGTGCCTGTTCTAAGTTGTACTTTGTTTTGGAGGGCGATTTCAGGCTGACCTTTAAAACAAAACAAAACAAAACAAAAATTATATTGGTTTTTAAGGGAATATAAAAGTAGAAAATAAATGTTTGATACAGTTTTACATGTTCTGAAAAGGCACTTTGTTCCAGAATGTAAGATACAGAGATATGCAATAGAATAAGCAGAAACAGTAAGACAAGGGATGGGGGGAGGGAGGGTAGCATTGGGGGCATGTTTTTTTATGTTTCGTAATAGTAAAAAAGGAGGATAAAGAGTCATGTTTTGAGCTTATACATTGGTGTATATGGAGAGCATATTGGGGGATGGGGAGGGAGAGAGAGAGGAGGAGTACAGGGATGTTGTTTGTACTTTGTCAAATCAACCAGGCTGTGTGAGCCATCTTTTCCATACTGAATAAAATCGAACTATACTACAAAGAATTCATTTGTTTTGTTTGGCCCTCTTGCTTTCAGACTGACCTTATAATGGACTGCCCATTAATATGCAGCCACAGACCACAAAACTTCCCATTGATGATAATTGTTGCACACTACCCCCAATCTCCGGGCGGCACGAGGGTTTCCGGGAGTTTACCCGGGGTTCCTTTGGGAATGATGCACAGCGGAGATTGTGGTGTCTTTATAATATATGGTTTATTCACACATATATACAACCTGAGCCTACAATGGAGGGGCTCACATCTTGTTTCTCCCATAGCCACAGAAATCGAACAATGCTCTCAAACTTTGCTCTGACTCTCCAGCTTCCTGCTTTGCTTCTAAGGCCATATCACTGCAACTCAACTCTAAACTTAGGCTTAGTCCTTCTAACCATTTCTGAGTTGAAGGAGGAGCCCTACCCATTCGTCATCTGGCACAGAACCCCCTTTCATTTGCTCTCTTAATGGCCCATCACCCATGCGATCACCTCAACACGGGAAGCTAGCCTGCCTTATATAGAAGGATCTTGCACACAGCCTGCTTCCTCCCCTCTAAAACTCCTAACAATATGTACGGACATTGACTCAGCAAGTTTCACATTTATTTTAATTCATTAATTGTTCCCGTTGTGACTGTTGCAAATTTTCTTTGTATTGTTCTATTAGTTATTACTGCAAGCTGCATAAAATCACAAATTCGGTAAAAAATAATTTGACAAAAAAAGAAAGAAAGAGCAAAGCCATATTGGGTAGTTTTGCCTAGCAGTTGGAGGAAATGTACCATCAAAGAATGAAACCCCATCTTCAAATGGTAAGTGTTGGAAGTGTACAAGGCAGGGGCAGTTGTACCTGTAATAATAGGACAATTTTTTATAGATGCTTCTTCTTCTTCCGAAAACTTTTTTTATTATCTAGGTGCTTCTTTTTTTCAGCGCTGTGTGGCAAGATGTACCTGCCCAGATGTTTTCGCCCAGCTGCTTTCCTCAATATAAGTACTAGAGGTGTTCTCATCTGGTCACCCCCAGGGAGATATCTTCGGGTCACTGAATGATTTATCTGACGTTAAAATTAATGTCAGAAACAGACACAAGTTGTGACCTTGTTGCAGAACCAGGGCAATATTCCAGCGAGTGCAATTGCCAGATGGACGGAGTCCTGTGACTGCCTGTGGGAATATAGCTCTCCATCCATCCTGTAACCGCCATGGGGTCATTCCACGGCCTCTGCTGTGAACCGAGTGGCTCCAGTTGCCATTTTTTGTTCTGAAAATAGTGTTCGCAGCCAGGGGTATAACGCAGTGATTTAAAACGCTCTCTGGCTCATCGGCAACGAGGAAGGAATAGACCTTTGCTACGATCACCCATGGTTCGAGAAGGTCTGACCGCATTCAGAGTAGCTTCATTTATGTTTTCAGACTCCATACAAACATCTGGCGAAACATCTGATGGATGCAGTTCCAACTCCGGCAGAATCAAGTCGAAACATCTGTCAGTAATAAAAGGGGAGGGCTAGGGGGAAGTTGTAACCCTTTATTTATAGTTAATATATCGTTATTAATGTAGTATTTTTTAACTGTTTCCATCCTGAACAGGCAGCAACACTTCATGGCAGTGAACTGCTAAAAACTGAAAGGAAGCAACCCATTAAAATACAAAACATTCCACACTTAAAGGTGATTGACAGTACAAGCCTATGCTGGATTACGCAGAAGTACGTTACACTTTTATTTTAGATAGATGATAGATAGATAGATAGATAGATAGATAGATAGATAGATAGATGTTGTTGTTGTTTAGTCGTTTAGTCGTGTCTGACTCTTTGTGACCCCATGGACCAGAGCACGCCAGGCACTCCTGTCTTCCACTGCCTCCCGCAGTTTGGTCAAACTCATGATGGTAGCTTCGGGAACAGTGTCCAGCCATCCCGTCCTCTGTCGTCCCCTTCTCCTTGTGCCCTCCATCTTTCCCAGCATCAGGGTCTTTTCCAGGGAGTCTTCTCTTCTCATGAGGTGGCCAAAGTATTGGAGCCTCAGCTTCAGGATCTGTCCTTCCAGTGAGCACTCAGGGCTGATTTCCTTAAGAATGGACAGGTTTGATCTTCTTGCAGTCCATGGGACTCTCAAGAGTCTCCTCCAGCACCATAATTCAAAAGCATCAATTCTTCGGCGATCAGCCTTCTTTATGGTCCAGCTCTTACTTCCATACATCACTACTGGGATGTTTCTATATATATAGATATATATATGCATTTTCCAAATTTTAATACATACAACTTTAAATTCTCTTCGTTTGTCACATTTCTCCAGACTTCCCCACCCAACCCTCCATGGCTTTCTACTTGATCCTTGTTCTGCTGCATATCCGTTTATACCACCCATTTTGATTCTATACAATATCCTAAGTGTTATTTACTGCTGCTCATGTTATCTATCCCTACTTGGAAATTTAGCTGGTTGTTGTTCCTCTTTAAATATTATCCAAATACTTCCACCCTTCCAGCCCCTCCAAGTGTCCCTATTTTCCAGAGACGTCCCTGATTTTAAGAAGCCGTCCCGGTTTCTGATTTGATCCTGGGATGTCCCCACTTTTTCCTTAAGATGCCCCTATTGTCATTGGAGAAATGTTGGAGGGTATGGAGTTATCTGACCCCTTGGGCCTCCTGAAGGCAATCCTGTGTTGGGACGTTTTTTTAAAAAAATGTTTAATGTTTAATCATGTTTTTATATATGTTGAAAGCTGCCCAGAGTGGCTGGGGCAACCCATTAAGATGAGTGGGGTATAAATAGTAAAAAAAAAAAAATCATTATGGAATAGGATATCCCTATTTTCATTGGATAAATGTTGGAGGGTATGCTCTTCCCTCACCAATTTCTCATCATGATTCCTTATCTTAGCTGACATCGTAGCTAAACTGCATGGGGGGCATGTGCCAGCTTGCTTCGTTGCCCAAGAGCTCCTTAGAGCCTCCCAGATTCCCTGCGACCATAAGAGAGCAATTATGAGAGATCCCGTCAATAGGCCTTTCCATCTCACTGTTCCACAATGAAGCTAGAGCAGGGGTCAGCAATGTGTGGCCCATGGGCCGGATGTGGCCCACAAAGACCGTTTTACCGGCTCATGAGCTGCCCCTGAACCGAGCTGCCCATTCGGTGGGTCCCCCGCGCACTGCGCTAAATTGGCGCAGCACGGCATGGTGACTCACTGAGCGGTGCCGGAAATTGCATCTGTGCATGTGCAGATACCAGAAATTGCATCTGCGCATGTGCAGATACCATAAATCACATCTGCGCATGTCCAGACGCCGAAAATCGCTTCTACACTGGCGCGATTTTTGGCATCTGGGCATGCGCAGAAGCGATTTTCGGCGCCACAGACATGTGCAGACGCAATTTCCGGTGTTCCACTGCACCAGTCTGGCCCACGGACAATCTCCTTGGGAGTGATCCGGTCCATGGCTGGTAAACCTTGCCGACCCCTGAGCTAGAGCTTCAACAGTAGCACCAGCCATGCCAACTGGAAAATCCCCCAGAGTGTTTGGAAACCCCTCAGAATCCATCAGCCTCGGCGGGGGGCAGGGGGCGGACAACAACTGATCTAGTCGGTCCCCCACCCCTGCAGTACAGGGGGAGGGGGGAATCAGTCCTAGCCAATCCAAACCTCACCACAGAGTATCTGCCCATGACAACAGGGCAATAGTTGCCAGTTGCGAATGTTTTAAAATTTATATTAAAAATTAATCATGAGGCAGACCAGGGCTTTTTAGCCCCCAACCGGAACTTGCCGGAACCTCTCAGGTGGGCGCCATTGCCATTGTAAGAGAATGTGGGAATTGTTATCTCCGGAACCTCTTTTTCTAGAAAAAAATAGCACTGAGGGAGACTAGTAATTATTATGGACCAGTAGGTTTCAATGTAATGTCTACTAAATGACCACTCAATAAACCAACCATTTTATATGCCCTGAACATAAAAGCTCAAATCTCATATGTGCCTCACCATCAACTAAGCAACTGTGAGCAACTGGGGCAGTTTAGACAGTCGTGTGGCAGAATGCCAGCAGAACTCATATGCCATGTATCTCTTCTCTAGCTCTAGGCAAGAGTAAAAGACAAGGATTTCCTGCTTTCCACAGTTCGCTATATTTACATACTAAACACTGTTTACCTGACAACAGTGTTCTTACTTAAAGTTTACCTCATAAAATTTTGGTTTTTCCTCAGGGTCCATGACTGCATATTGCGGCAGTGAATCTCACACACACTTTGTGGAGAAATGCTTCCTTCTGCCTGTCCTGAACATTTAGCTTTCTCACATGACCCTGAGGTCTAGTATGACAAGAAGAACACATCTTCTCTCTGTCGACTTTCTTCGTAGCGTGCAAAATTTTATATACCTCTATCATGTCCCCCCGCTTTCTCTAAAGCAAGTTACCGAAATGTTCCTAATCTTACATAAGGGAGTTATTTCATCCCCATGTTCATTTTAGTTTCTCTTTTCCAGCTCTAACAATATCTCTTTTGAGGTGTGGGGTAAAGGTAAAGTAACTAAACACAGTACTCTCGTGTTTGGACACACACCATAGATGTGAATTTATGAGGCTAGCAGTCCCATATCCTAATGATTCCTAACAAGCAATTTGCCTTTTTTTTCACAGCTTCCATAGGCTGAGGCAACATCTTCACTGAGCTATTCACCTCAGCACCAAGATTTCTTTTCCTGGTCAGTCATTGATAATTCAGACCACTTATTTATCCCCCACACATCTTACTGGGTTGCCCCAGCCACTCTGGGCAGCTTCCGACATATATAAAAAACATAAGAAAACATTAAACATTAAAAAAAAACCAACCACTTCCCTATACAGTACAGGATTGCCTTCAGGCGGCTTGTGGGTCGGATAACTCCATACCCTCCATCATTTCTCCAATGAAAATAGGGACATCCTAAGGAAAAGTGGGACATTCCAGGATCAAGAAACCAGGATAGGTTCTCTAAATCAGGGATGTCCCTGGAAAACAGAGACAATTGTAGGGTCTGCCTTTGGCTTTTTAATGAACACAAAATTTTCCCTTCCACACAACTACTCGAAGAATTGATGCTTTTGAATTATGGTGCTGGAGGAGACTCTTGAGAGTCCCATGGACTGCAAGAAGATCAAACTGATCCATTCTGAAGGAAATCAGCCCTGAGTGCTCACTGGAAGGACAGATCGTGAAGCTGAGGCTCCAATATTTTGACCATCTCATGAGAAGAGAAGACTTCCTGGAAAAGACCGTGATGTTGGGAAAGATGGAGGGCACAAGGAGAAGGGGACGACAGAGGACGAGATGGTTGGACAGTGTTCTCGACGCTACCAGCATGAGTTTGACCAAACTGCGGGAGGCAGTGGAAGACAGGAGTGCCTGGCATGCCCTGGTCCATTGGGTCACGAAGAGTCGGACACGACTAAATGACTAAACAACAACTACTACTTTAAAAAATGCCAGAGCCCCGCCTGATTCTGCATCCACGCATCTTAATCCCAAAATTCTTCTCTGTGAAGAAAAATAATATCCGACTACACTCCATTGCTTTTGACAGCTGCTGGACATGCAGAAATCCCAAGCTGTGCAGCTTTAACCAGCATGGCATGGAAGGACTGACCTGTTGAATTTCAGTAGTTATTCTGCGCTTGGTGTTTCAAAATCTAGCCAGCTCCAATGCCTGCCATTTTCTCTGCATGCCTTTAGAGTGGGCTGCTTCCATTCATTACTGACAGTTAGATATAGCCTTGCTAGGGAGTTGTGGTGTTGTGAAATCTGCCTTTCTCAGCACTTGGAAGAGCAGGACCAGAATGTTGATGAGCTTTCCAAGGCAATGTATGAAGTGGGGTGGGGAATTCCCAGGCATCCCATAATTCAGGGAGGCTAATTCAGTGAAATGATTCCGCAATGATGGAAGAGATGCAGTTGGAATCCCACACAAAAGAGAAAGAAGGGGAGGGGGGATTGTGCATGTGTGCGTGCCTGCCTGTAAAAATTGTTGTTTTTAAACAAAGAAAGAAAACTTCAGCGTTTTCCATTATTGCA